GTAACCCCTATTTATACAGGTGCGCCATCCTTCGCGTAACTAAGAGGAAATGTAAGGGAAAAACATAAGTAGTCGACGTGTTTGACCATAACATAAGTAGGAAAAACATAAAGTGCGAACGTGTTTGACCCTAAAGAACTGCCAAGGAAATCCCATAAAACACGCGTAAATCTAAGATGGTGTGAACGGATAATTAAAACATAATTGTAAATCAAATGACCGATGACTGTGCATGATGATGCATAAAATGTAAGAAATAAACCGGAACACCAGATAAGAAAAGCACGCCATAATCCCCTAATCGTATCATGAAATATCAATGAAATATACGTAATACATACTCCGCTGTAGTAATGTCCGTGAACTAGAAATAATACTAAGTAGAGGAATATACGATATTATCAAGGAGAATATACATATGAAACGAATTAGAAAATTCAACATAGTCAACTTGGGCCGCAAGGCTTCCCTCTGGGCTGATAAGGACCTCTTATGGGGCCTGGCATGATACATTTCCAATACCAAAACCAACTTTCCTCCCGCAATGGGTGGGGCGCAGGCGTCGCCAGGTGTCAATTTCATTTCAGATTGAAGTGACAGTTCCTTCTGATAGCTTTCCTAGTATTTATTTAACTTTCCATGCTTTGTGTTTCCTTCATGCAGGAGGAGACCTGTCTTTCCCTTTGCGATTAGTCACCCTAGCGGGTGCAGTGGGTTGCATTACTCACAGGCAGGGATTTTTGGGTGGAGATATATTTCGTTGTTGTTTGTTGTTTTTGATATTAAGGTTTTGTTTTTGCCATAGCTAGTGCTCCATGCAGGTTCTTGTACCTTAACAAAGAATATATGAGTTAAACAAAAAAAAAAAAATCCCTAGCTTTAAGCTTATCATCAGCGACCGGAGAATAGATCCTATCAATATATTCATTCCACTTTACTTCTATCTTTACTAGCCTTCTTGACTATCTCTGAGACCGAAGATTACAGGGCCTAGTATACACTTGCTTGACTTTAGAGTTACCTACCCCTAACAGCACACTAATAAGCCGGATTCACGAGCAAACCTTTTCAGTACCATGCTCTTGGCGAGAAACCCTCTCGGATACCATCGACCGAGAAATATACCATTCAAAAAAATGAAACCATGACTGGGATGCCAGAAGCAAGTATTGGATTATTTCAGGAATATCAACTAGCCGAATAAAGGTAACCTCTATACCTTTATGATGTTTCTCCCCTCCCCACCACCCACGCCTCCTTCCTATCGGCTTCCACCTGAGCCCCCTCTTAATTTTTTCCTATCGCGATCAGGTGTGCTTGTAGTGTGGAATTTCTACTGACATATTTCAATTGTTTTTATTCTTTTACTCTATTTATCTCTAAGTGCACGGATGGAGTTCCTTTGTTTTGAACGGTCCATTCGCAGTTGCGATAGAAACCGCGATCATAGCTGAAGGTTTTACATTTTTTAATGGTATATTTTTCGGTGGATGGTATCCGAAAGGTTTGTATGCCAAGCGCATGGTATAGAAAAGGTTTTCTCCCGGATTCACCTTAGATACCGAGGCCCCCTCTGTCTACTAGTAGACCTCCGGTGGAATACCGGACTCGGACCTCAGCATAGACCTCGGAGGTGGGATACCTGACCCTTGCTTAGACCACTGATGGGATGTCGGATCTGTTTATATCTCTGGAGCCTTGCCATGGCGTGCCTTGCCATGGCGTGCCTGGGACTACCTGCTCAGACCTTGTCCATTACACCAGTACTGTAAAACTCTTGAGATTCCCGAATTTGGAGGCAAAGGCTCCTGGATTTCAACCTTTTTTATAGTATCAATACCAGAAACCCGTGCTCCGAACACCGTAATGATACGACTCCCCGCTTTATAGAATAATGGTTCATCCCTTGAGCCCTTCTCTAATACTAGTATCTATACAGCTTTATCCCTTCGATCCCCATGCTTTCACATAACATATTATGGGGATGGTATTACAGTATAGAGAACCACCGCAGTAAGATATCAAAGCATCATACCCGGACAAACCCATCCCCTTAGACCAGCCACTGCGATCCCAGGAACGGTGGAGGTTTCCGGAGCCAGTTTCTCTGGAATTCATGGCAGGTAATTTGTAGCAATGAGACAAACAGTGGAGAAGGGGGTGGATAAAGCCACAAGTAAGAATGAGGCTTTCAACTCATGCCACACATCCAGCTCAACTAACCGACAGCCTCCATTAAACTTCGTTTGGATCGTCGAGGCAGGGAAGACGTGGGAGGGCCTTCTTAACTCGAACCTTTCGGAAGGCTCGCTGACGTTTCCTGGCCTGTCGTTGATGCGTGGCCCCGCCCGTCGTCTCATCCTCCCCTCTCTGGGCTTCTGCAAAGTACTCGTACAAGTAGGGTTGATCATTTGGGGTTCCTTCAATCACCTCCCAGCTTTCCCTCCTGCAAAGTACGGTACTCGAGAAGCACCAGTGATAGCAATAGCAGTACAGTACAGTACAGTACCGTACATACACGCACTGCTTCTACATCCTGCCCACCTCTCGGCCCTCCTGTCTATCCCATCCTCTCCCACCCCCCATCGTCCACTTCTCTGTCCTCTCCGTTTCTGGCCTCTTCCCCTTTCCTTTTCCCCCTTTTCCCCCTCCCTCTCTTTCGCCTTCCTCCGCTTCCTTCTGCCCCCAACTTCCTTTGTTAAACCGCCGTTACTAACAGACACCAGGACCCTTTGAAGTCCAATTTAACGAATTTACGACCGGAATTAAACCCACTCGTCTTACTTCATCTTCCCCCTATTGTCCGCCTTGCCTTTTCACCAACCAGAACATCTCGTCACGAAATACATCATTTGAACAGTTATACTTTACGTTTTCTGTACATCCTTTTTACGCACGAATTAACGACGTCCAACGATCATCGCCAAAACTGATACCCTCTTATTTAAACAGCAGGAACCCTTTCTTTCTTCCTGTCTTTTGCAATATCCCATATTCTGCCCCCCCCCCCCTCCACGTCCGCGCCCTTCGCGATAACCTCAGCAAATCAACATGAGCTCCGGATCCCCAACCGTCAATCTACCAAATGATGGCCAATCTTCGAATGGTGGCCCAATTCGTTCGTTCTATCTTCATCCACTGACTAGAAAAAAAGAAAAAAAGAAACAACCGTTTTCTAACCTTACTTTGTGTTACAGAAGCTCCTCGAGTTGTACCTTTAACCTGCCATGGCCACTCTCGGCCTGTCACCCATCTTTCATTTTCGCCTATGTTAGCAGACGATGAATACTATTTAATATCCGCTTGCAAGGGTTAGGACAAACATTGAGTCTACTTGTAGCGCTGTTTAGCGCTGGACATTGATACTAACTCTGGTTCAGATAATAATCCAATGCTTCGAGATGGCATTACGGGCGATTGGTAAGTTTGGTTGCTGACTCTGAAGGCCCCGGTGAGGTCTGATGTTGTTTTAATTAGGATTGGGACTTTCTTAGGCCACAAAGGTGCCGTGTGGCAGGCAAGGCTTTCCAATGATGCAGCTTTAGCGGCTACTGCTTCTGCAGATTTTTCTGCGTGAGTCGAGACAAGTCAAGAGCCGATAACGCTCGGCCTAGCTATTTGTTTCTAACCATTGCGCAGGAAAATCTGGGACACCTTTACTGGTGAATGCTTGCAAACCCTCCAACACAATCACATAGTTCGCGCGGCTACTTTTTCGCCAAATCCTACACATGTCGCAACTGGCGGTCAGGAGAAAAAGTTACGAGTGTATGACCTGGCGCACCCGGAAACGCCAATGGAGATTGGTGCCCAGACCCATACAGGAACTATCAAGTCTATTGTTTGGTCGGACCCCAACTCCATCCTCTCGGCCTCCGATGACCGAAAACTGCGTTGGTGGGATACTAGATCCAGGGAGCTTGTGTCAAAGTTCGATGTCGACGAGCTCATTGGATCTTGTGAATTGAGTCCTGAAGGAAATTTGATCAGCGCAACAGCTGGGAAGACAGTGTATTTCTTCAATGCACAAAGCAGACAGTTGATCAAGAGCATCTCAACAGCATACGAAGTATCTTCTGTAGCACTTCATCAACAAACTATGCGGTTTATAACAGGTGGAAGTTCGGATACTTGGGTCAGGGTTTACGATTATGACACTGAGGCCGAGCTCGATATTTACAAAGGCCACCATGGAAGTATATGGAGCGTCAGCTTTTCCCCGGATGGAAAGCTTTATGCAACAGGTTCTGAAGACGGTACAATAAAATTGGTAAGTCATCTTTGCAAGTAGGCCAGTTTATCACGTGGTCTAAATTCGTATAATTTACAGTGGAAATACACCAACCAGCCGTATGGCTTGTGGAAATGAGCGCTCTAGTGTGAAAGATGTATGAGTCGAGCAAAGTGTAGATTTCTTGCTAGTGACTACAATTGCATACTGTATCTCGATTCCATACAGATGCCTGACATTAGCGCCAGATGGAATTATCACGTTTTGTGTTTCCTTATATCCCCTACGGAGTAGGGAAAGACCATAGGTCTAAAAGAGCGGATAGGCCATCTAATGAGAACTAAATTGCGGGGTCATATTAAAGTCAAGTACATTTGCTATATCGCTTGTGCAAAATACATCGTTCTTGGACTCAATGTTGACGAGATCAGTAAGATACCGTGTTTCACATGAGGCTCGTGTTGTGAGGTCACGAGATTTTTTTCCGTTTTGCGGAGTCTTCGATTAGCTTATCAATCCCACCTTTCCATCCCACTTCGCACTGCCCTGTATGGTCACTTCTAACAACTATAACACTAAACGGAACAACCTACTTTTGAGGAACCACCTTTTTCTGAAAAATCGGAAAACCCGGTAATAAATACCGAACTGAGCGCGATGGTCACACTCGAAATTCCGGTGGCGTCAGAAGACGTCCCGCAGCCCCCTAGAGCTGCTCCCAAGCTTGTAGCTCCCGAGCCAGGTGCGCTGATGGCCCGATGCGTGCTTCTCTGTGAATACAATGGCTAACGTGTATATCAATATTGGCTCAACAGAACACTGTCCCGGGCCCGAGAGCCAGCAGGCGGGGGAAATGGACGCTTGCGCCGGATGCCCCAACAAACAGATATGCGCTACAGCTCCCAAGGGGCCCGACCCGGATATCCCTTTCATTCAAGCACGCATGGCAACAATAGCGCATAAACTTCTCATACTTTCTGGGAAAGGCGGTGTGGGAAAATCAACATTTACCTGCATGCTCGCATATGCCTTTGCCCAGTCCCCTACAGCACAGGTAGGCGTTTGCGACATCGACATATGCGGCCCATCGATACCACGAATGATGGGTGCTGAGAACGAGTCTATTCACTCCTCATCGTCGGGGTGGTCGCCGGTATACGTAGCGGACAATCTCGGTGTCATGAGCATACAATTTATGCTACCAAACCAGGACGATGCTATTATTTGGAGGGGACCTAAGAAGAACGGGTTGATCAAGCAGTTTTTGAAGGATGTCGAGTGGGGCGATTTGGACTTTTTGCTCATTGACACCCCTCCGGGAACTAGCGATGAGCATTTGAGTATAAACAGCTACTTGAAGGGCAGTGGGGTTGATGGAGCCGTTGTTGTTACGACGCCACAGGAGGTTAGCTTGTTGGATGTTAGGAAGGAGATCGATTTCTGCAGAAAAGCCGGGATTAAGGTTTTGGGGATCGTGGAGAATATGAGTGGTTTTGTTTGCCCCAATTGTGAGGTATGTTATATACTCTTCTGATCTTCTCTGCTTCTATTCTGGGGAGTACTGCTCGTTTTTCCGACGCTGAGTCCATCTAAGGGTGAATCACAAATATTCCATGCTACTACCGGAGGTGGCCGGGCTCTGGCGACTGAGATGGGCGTGCCTTTCCTCGGGGCCGTTCCTTTGGATCCTAGGATAGGTATTGCTTGTGACTACGGCGAGAGCTTTTTCAGTGCATACCCAGAGAGCCCGGCTTGTGAAGGATTGATGAACATTATAAAGGGTTTACGGGATCAGATGGGATTGCCTCTATTGCACGATGGGATCGAAGAGATGGGTGAAAGCTAGGCGATCGCAAGTCATCTTTGTACACGTGTGTAGAGTGGGCATATTAAATGGCGTTCTTGGACTCTGGATTTTCCTTGTTTTCAGCGAAAAAGGTACTCAAGTATAGCATTAGTAGTGCGCTATGGAACATCCCCTTTAAGGGCCGTGTTGTGTTGGGGGCATAATATATCAATCATCGTGCCGGTGCCCCTCCCTTCTGAAAGAACGTCCACTATCTCCGTGACGTCCGTCCCGGCCTCGCTCCTTTTCCAGTCTACTGTTCCCCTCCCTATCCCTATCCCTATCTTTGTCCTTGCCTCTGCCACTATCTCTATCACGATCTGTTTCCCTTCGACTACCCCTGTCCTTTTCTCGAGGATTGCTTGGCTCGTTGGAAGCTCTCTCCCTGTGCGTTCGCTCCTTGGAATGAGATCTAGGCCGTCTAGATCTTTCCTTTGAACGGCTTCTGCGCCTATGGAAGTGCCGGTGATCTCTTTTGCTGTCACCATCGCGCCGATGGCGCGAGGGCTTCTTCTCCCTCTTCAGCTTCTGAAGGGCCAGCTCGACCTCCTCTTTCTTTTGCCTCACAAGGTATTCCTTCATTGGATCGTCCTCATCGTGATCCCATATTAACTTCTGTAGTTCAATCTCCTCCGGAAGCATCTCCCGCGCTGGCGTCTCTTCCCTCTCCTTGCCCTTTCTTCTCTTGCTGTCGTGCTCGCTCTCCTCATTGTCTCGCTCCCTCGGCCCTAAACCCTGGCCCAAAAGCTCCTCTAATTCCCCTTCCTTTGGCTTGTATCTGGTATGGTCCACCCGAATCGTCCTTCCGAGAATCGTAGCCCCACCTAAGTTGTCTACCGCAAGATTTGTACTCCGTTGGTCTTCGTATTTGAGAAAAGCGAACCCTTTGCTCTTTCCAGTGTCCTTGTCACGAACGAGATTGAGGTGAACGGGTTCGCCGAATTGGGAGAATATTGTGATTATATCACCCTCGCTGAGCTCGTACGGAAGACCGCCGATGTAAACATATGCAGTGTCGGACCAGTCAGTATGCCAGGAGGCAGATAATGGCTTTGGCCAAGTTAGCAGGCAGTTGGAGACTTGGGTTCCCAGGAGTTCAGGGCTAAAACATACAATGCCAGCTTCCAGCTCTCGCCGGTTCAGCTTTTCGATGGCGCGGATATTATTCATTGCTGGTTGCCCTTTGTTGACTCGCGATAGGTGCCGTCGAGCCTGCTGTGAGTTACAGCAGCCAGACGCCACACGAGAGCTGCCGGTGTGTTGCCTGGCGTCACACACACGTTAAAATTCTGGAGACGAATTTTGCGGGGGAGGGGGTTACCCGGACAGAGGATTTAAGGGGGAGAGCTCGAGCGCACAGCTGATCCTACTTTTTTTTACTTGCAGTTAGGAAAATCCTGTGCGTGTTTAGCCTAGGCGTTACCTAGTCTAGGATACCAGGTGCTAATTGGGGTCTAGTCGATGCTCGGTGGTTTTTTTTTGCGGTAAAAACGAGGTAAGTAAAAATAACAATTGAACGATGATACGACACTGTTGGATTGAAACCAAACAATAGACACAATGGAATTAGAATGAAGCTCCCGATCCCAGGGTTTCGCGGTTTATTTTCCAGAGCCCAATTAACAGTGCGAGCCCCGTACTGGTGTCATAACGGGTTGTGGACCAGAATTGAAATCTGTCCGGTGCTTGAACTAGAAATCTCGTTCCGGGACATCCAGGGCTTGCCAAGGCTCGCGGAAAAGGGGCTACGGTATTTGCAGGGCCATACAATTTCACCGACTCTCAACACGCATCTTCAGCTTCCTCAACACCACAACAGTCTTTGTCCAGCTTCTTTTCCTCAGGCTTCATCTTTTGCCTACATCTCTCAATCCCCCTCCCCCTCCCCCTCCCCAACACCACCATCATCAACTGGCAACACTCCGCCCTCTCGCTATCGTACACTCCTCCTGCCTTGCATCTTCGTACCATACCCGACCGATCCCATTACACTACAACAATGTCGTCTCCTCTCAGCGCTGTAAGTAACCCTGAACCTTCACCACACCACCGCCATTGACCGTCCTGCCACACCCTCCCACACCCTCCCGCTCCCTCTCACCCTTCCCACACACCCTGCTCGCTCTCATTCACTACCCATCCCTTAACTTCATCTCTCTCCTCTCCCTTGAGCTGCCTCTGCGGCGTTCAAGCCCAACTTCCTCCCCCCCCCCCCAAACCGCATTTATTCTCACCCCTTATCACACGTCGAAACGCCGTCGTTGGGCCAAGCTTCTAACAATGCCTCCACAGATCCGCAGAAAGAAGAATGTCAAGAAGGGAATCCAATTTTGTTTGATGGTGTGCGGTGCCTCTGGTACTGGTAGGCTTCAAACACTTCCTTGTCATCTATATATCGCTAAGTTCCCGATACTGATTCGTATTATCCGGTAATCCTCAGGTCGTACTACCTTTGTCAACACCCTTTGCGGCAAAAAGGTGCTGCAGAGCAAAGACTCTGACGATTCCGCCAATGCACATGTTGAGGAAGGTGTCCGAATCAAGCCGGCCACGGTCGGTACGTGCCTCCAGGGGAAATTGGTCAATCGCATCCTCGTAAATAATTGCTTATTGACATATCAACTACAGAACTTGACGAGGAGGGAACGCGCATATCCCTTACTATCGTCGACACCCCTGGTTTCGGTGACCAGATTGATAATGAGGCAAGGTGAGTTTAAGGCTGCAATTACGAGGCTCAATGATTTCGTCATGAAAAGTGCTGACGGTCTGCGGGGCAGTTTCGGTGAAATTTCTGGATACCTGGAACGTCAGTACGATGATATTCTTGCCGAGGAGTCGCGTATCAAGCGTAATCCCCGATTCCGTGACAATCGTGTCCACGCTCTTCTTTACTTTATCACCCCTACCGGTCATGGGTGAGCATTTAGCATTTCCGATTGGTCCCGAATGCAGCATTGACTAACAATCGCCTTAGTCTACGCGAATTGGACATTGAACTGATGAAGCGTCTCTCCCCTCGTGTAAATGTCATTCCTGTAATTGGCAAGGCTGATTCTTTGACACCTGTCGAATTGGCTGAGTCCAAGAAGCTCGTCATGGAGGATATTGAGCATTATCGCATCCCTGTCTATAACTTTCCTTACGATGTTGAGGAGGATGATGAGGATACCGTTGAGGAAAATGCTGAGCTCCGCGGATTGATGCCCTTTGCGATTGTTGGGAGTGAGGAGGTTGTAGAGGTTAACGGGCGCAAAGTTCGTGCTAGGCAATATCCATGGGGTGTCGTTGAGGGTTTGTGCTGTCCTTCCAGAGTTACAGACCAAATATGGGAAGCGCGGGGCTAACCGCCACCAAACCGTTTAGTCGATAACCCAAGACACTCCGACTTCCTTGCTATCAGGTCTGCGCTATTGCACTCTCACCTAGCAGATCTGAAGGAAATTACCCATGACTTCTTGTATGAGAACTACCGAACAGAGAAACTTTCCAAGTCTGCTGAGGGTGGTGCTACTGCGTATGTTCCCTGCACTTCAGATATGACCTGAGCACCACTAACATGTCGATTCCGTAGTTCTATGAGCCCCGAGGACCTTGCCTCTCAATCGGTCCGACTCAAGGAGGAGCAGCTCAGACGTGAGGAGGAGAAGCTCCGGGAAATCGAATCAAAGGTTCAACGAGAGATCAACGAGAAGAGGCAAGAACTTCTTGCTCGTGAATCGCAGCTCAGAGAGATGTATGCATAATCTAACCCTTGATTCCCATCTTCAAGCTCATAACTGACAATGATTAGTGAGGCCCGGATGACTCGTGAACACAGCCAGCCTACATTGGATGAGAAATCGAATGGGGATCTGTAGTGGGCTTTAGCTCCCTAACCTGGCTCAACAAATTTGGTTTTATTTGTGTATTGCGATATCCTTTCTTTTGCTCAAAGTGAGATTGTGCGTGATCGGGATATCTGTGCCGGCTCTATGCGGGGGGAGTTTGATTAGGCAGTAGGATGGGGTGGCATCAGCAAGCATATATATGCAGGTGCTCCTGGAACAAGGGTCATTTTGTAGCGTTTTTTTTTTTTGAACCGGAGAATGTGTTGTTAAAGTGTGCGCCAACGTCTTTTGAGGGCACCGGTGGTTCGCCTATCTACCGTCGATCCAAAATTTTCTCTCCTTTGTCATCCTTTAATGTTCTTTTTTATTTTTTCTCCCCGTGCCTACAACAACCTTACCTAATTTCCTCTTTCCTCCTGTAGTACTTTAACTATTCGTGTTCTTCCAATGCCTAGGCACATTTTCATTTTTTATCGCACCAAAAAAACATACGCCACCCACTTTCCTATCTCTATGTATCTCTCTATCTCTATCTCTCCAATCTCACACTCTCTCACTCGTGTACTGCTGCTGCTCTCATACTGGTCAACTTGAGAACAGGGAAAGGTTTCCCCTTTTTCCCCGTGGGATGTGAACGTGGCCAGATAAACTACAGTACAAGTACAGCGCCGGTGGTCTAGTTGTTCATTCAAAAACACTATAATTCTGTCTTGTCATTGGTTCCCGTAATTACCGGTATCATGTGTTTCCTCCCGCTATACCAGTACCTCCGCAAGTACTGTACTCGAGTACGAGTAGAATGCCCAACCCATCCATCACCCTACGGTATGCAATACCATATCACACCTCGAGTAAACCACCAGACCTTGGACCAGAGTAGGCAATCGCTGAAATATTATAATCACAGCTATAGCCAATCCCCTCTCTTATCGTAGCGCACCGGTACTGTACCACACTCCCCACATCCACCTATCCACCTTATGATACCCAGCAATAAATTTATTATACCGGTATGATAACATAACCTGACTTACCCTATGTAGCATACCCCGTCCTGCCCCGCCCCACCGATTCGTTACCAGATCCCCCTTCCTCCCATACCTTCCAAACCTAGCGAAATCGAGGAAGTTCCCCCCCACCCACCACCACCACCACCACTCATATCACATCTGTACTCGAGTAGGTACTGTACGTACAGTGGGTACTGCGCTGACCAGATACCTGTGCTCGTGCATGGTAGAAAAGGTCGGAAAAAAAAATCAACAAGATCCTGTGTGGTGGCTGGCAGACAATCGATAATTAACGGCGGGGCAGGAAGGGGGTGGGGATGAAAAAGGGATAACAAGGACTTGTACGAGTACAGTACCGGTAGACATCAACAACCCGCAGCGGACACCAGTCATACCGGTATAATATTCCCCTTTGCCAATACTCGTGCGTCCCAGCCAGGATTTGAAACCCCATCGGCCCTACTCATAGTAGGCAGCAGAAATTCTCCACTGCTGAAAGGACATATCATACGGTGCCGTACTGTATTGCGCAGCGAGTACCGGTATGAGGGCCTAAATCTTCCATAGAAAGAAAACAGTGTACGCCAGGATCCGGATATCATACAAACTTGAGTAAATTTTTCGCGAGTCGATTCACGAACGGTTTCCCCCAAGAATGGTTAGGCTTCTGCACCCGCTCCACACTACGAGTACTGTACAGCACAGTATAGGCTGCCAGTATGCGCCTTCAGCAGAGAAGGGTTTGTGTCATGCATGAACTAAGACGAATGGGGCGGGTGTCAAATTCTGGCCGGGAAGCACGGGCACAAGTAACTTAACTTACTGCAGGAGTACTGTATGGTACTCGTACTCGTACCATGGTAGTGTGATAAGTTAGCAGCAGACAAGGATTGTGAAATCGGACAGAGCACGGACCGGCGCTATAGCGGTTGCTTGCTATGGTAGCTATAATAGCATACGAGTAGAGTGTCCTTCTAAATCTCCAATCCACACATCTCTCTCTCTCTCTACGAGTATGATGATACCGGTACTCGTACTCGTAGAAAGAGCTAGACACCAATGCAACCTGTATGGATTTCTCTGGCTCCTACGGTACAACACTGTACGAGTAGGTTCCTTTCCGTGAAGATCATTGATCGGCCCTTTTCCACAATGCACGAGTAATAAAGATGATTACATCATCAGTGCCAAAGTATTGGAATCCAATTATTTATTTTTTTATCCGGTGGGGGGAAAGAGGAGGAGGGGGAGGAGATGATATACCGGTTTACGGTACGTTACCGGTATCGGTACACACTGTACTGTACAAGCACATCAGAGCGCTGTATGATAAAGTTTTCTTTAATTGTGCATGGGAAGATTGGGTGTGACAGGTGCCCTGCGTTGGGGATCTACAACACAGCTACCCAGGTACAGTACAGCACAGCACAGCATAGAACGGTACTCGAGTACAAGTACCGTACTCTACAGTAAGTTACCGTTCCCGGGTATGAATCAATAGGGAAAGTATTAAAATTAAAAATAAAATAAAAAAGAGCTCGTGATGATATCGTAAACACCAATCGACACAAGTTGTAGGTAGATATATGAAACCAGAACACGGTACTGTACCGTACAGCACAGGACGAGCACAACGGCGGTTGCGCCCCGCCCATAAGTTATGCTTATGACGGTTTCCACGACACTGGTACCGTACTATGCTCGTAGCTACCGGTGCGGTGGGATAGACTACCAGACTACCAAACTTGACCCCAGTGGGGTGGGGGAGGGTGGGGGCTTAAATGTTTTCCGGTAATTAATTAATTAGTAACTGTTAGTCCTGAAGGGTCCCCGGGAGGAGCTTTGCAAATCTAGTATATACTTTAGATTTGGATTATGAACTCGGGATATCTTTTATGGCGGATAATACGTCCTGTGGTGATTGCCTTCCTGTTTGCTTGTTTGCTTACTCACTATTGTATCACTCACCACGTTTGATCTCGTTGACCTTTCAATTTATCCATTTATTTATTTATTATTTATAAAGCCTACTTGAGCAGAGTATCAGTATGATACAGTTGCGAGTAGCAAGCGCGAGAGGGAGGGGGGGGGGGGGGCAAGTTATGATACATAAATTACGGTGGGTATTCCGCATTGTTGTACTGTACTGGACCTTACCGGTAATGTATGATATGAGTTCACTCCTCGGGAGGGATGGCCCGGGTGGACGCCTTCGGAATCTGGCGGTTCTGAGGTGCTTGTAGGTACGGTCTCTCGGGTGAATGGAGCTTTTTATAGTGGGGGTGGACTCTGTTTCTCTCTGTGATCTTTTTGCCAGCACCCGTCCTCGGGGTTTCTTAATCTCACGAGGGGAATGATAAGGTAGGCATGGACGATGGCTGCTTTGTTTGCTCGATGGTTGGTTGACCGATTGATTAGTAATGAAGGGTTATGGCGGGTTACCGGTATACTGGTATTGGTACAGTACTACAAGTTTGGTTAGGGTCGTACCGGCGCTGTGGTAATGTATGGTGGGCTCTTCCATCAGTTGGGTTGGTTCCCTCTTGTTCGTCCGGGGAGAAGAGTCGTGAATGGGGTTTATCCGTGCTGTACTATATCATACTAGTTGGCATATTTATTATCTTCCCACGCCATTGTTAATCCGCACTGTTCCACATGAGGGAAGGCAGAGGACCTTAGAGGGTCTAAAAGGTATCGCATGGTTTGGTATCACACAAGCACTAATACTTCCAGACTACTCTATCATGATACACCAGTACTATACAATTATCACGATAAAACACCTCACCAGAACCAACCACCATACATGCAAAAAAAAAAAAAAAAGAAAGAAAAAAAAGACTACCCCAACCACAGCACTGTAAACCAATGTGCAAATATTTAGTGTACGCGTGTGTCAGTGCGCATACGGTACTTGTATAATACCATACTACTACTACTACCCTACATACTATGATACCTGCCTACCCGTAAGTTACGCTACAGCAGCCACCACCACAACCACCACTATGATACCATAGGCTAAATACAAAGCACCTGCCTCCCCCTCTCCAGAGACCGCAGCACTTCACTTCTCACTTCACTCAGCTCTCTTAAATGATGGTGATATCTCAAACAAGCAAAACGCTAAACGTAAACTGATCTCTGTAAGCAGAAGAATAAATTCGAAGGGGAAAGCTCAAAGTTGTAGTAGTGTCATGGGACAGAACAAAACAGACAACCCGCCGCCAGCCCCACAAAGTGGGAAGTAAAGTAGTGAACGTAAAAGTTAATTGTGAGGGTACTGTAGTAGTATAATGTAGCAAGTAGTACAGCCACTCGGAAAAAGCCTTCGCCACTGTGGTCTCCGTCAAAGAGAAAATCCGTTCCAGGAAGAATCTTGCTGAGCGACCGTAAGCAAGTTAAGTGATAAGGAAAATTGAAAGAGAAAAGGGCAATTCAACATATAATCCCATACCACCCGATACAATCCAGGATGGGAAAATAGAATATTGGTCCAAGTATGAAAATATGAAAAAAGAAAAGGAAGAAAAGAAACAAAGGTTAATAAAACCAGGTTTGGTAGTTGTAGCAGGGGAAAATAGAATCGGATGGAAAAGAAAAAGAATAAGAAAACACCAGCTAGCTTAAACTTAACAACACCCCATAACAGCCATGGACATGATGAAAAAGGGAGAAGAAAGGAAAAAGACCGAGTTGAGCACATGAAACGGAAAAGGCAAGGGAAAAAACACAAAACACCCCACTACATGAAGTGGCGCCTCAATACATAAAAGCGAGAAACCGAACCATGGAAAACCGAACCAAAAGAGCACAATGGGAAAACGTTAAAAGGTTAATGATACCGAGCAGGATTCCGGACCAGGATGGTGGTGAACATGAAGGGGGAAAAAAAAGAAGTGAAAAAAAGAGAAACAGAAACAAGAAACAAGAACACCTCGTATGCCCAAATCTTTGATGCACCCTGCGCGCGAAGAAGAATCGCACTGGCTAAGAATCAATCAATAAATTCCCCCGACCTGTGCCAAAAAAGAAACACCGAAATTTTAAAACCCAATGCGCCGGTTTGTCATTTCACATCATATAACAGATGGTCAAACTTTTTTTATCTTTTTGTGATTGGTTTTTTTGTTATGTTCTGGATCTTGCTTATTTTCCTATGAGATGCGGAGGAATGCCTGATACCCCGAATTGATGCGAGTGCCCAACGACGCCATTGGGCTCGTCACGGCTGTTCGAGTGAAGAGGGTGGGTGACACCGTTAGATCGTTCATGGCCGATCTGATGATGGGGGTAGCTATTGCTGTTGGGTTGATCGTGGCCAATCTGCTGATGAGAATAGGTAGCTCCATTTGATTGGTCGTATCCCATTTGATGGTGAGAGTATGTGGTGCCATTGGGCTGATCATGGCTGCTCTGGTGGTGGGCTGCCATTTGACGGTTAGAAGGCGCTGGTAAACCTGGCGGATTGTGAGAAGCCGTCGAGAATGTGAAAGGAGTGGCCGGCGAGCTGAATTGACTTCCAGAGTTGGTGGGTGTAACCGGGGTTGATAACCCATTCACAGGGTGAGAGCGAACACCGAGAGGATTTTTAGAAAAGCTGAGTCTAATCCCTCCTTTGACACTGGTGGATAAGTTTCGTCCATAAAGCTCGGTCAAAGCCTTGGTTGCCATGCCGATGTCTTCAAATTCAACAAAACACATTGGTCCATTCTGCTTCGCACGAAAACAGAGACGCTTGTAGCCACGTTGACGGCAAAAGAGGTTCTTCAACTCGTCCTCAGTAGTGTTGGCCGGGAGATTACCAACATACAAAGTATTGCAGGGTGGATTCTGGTCTGCGGGATTTGCGGGCGGGAGATGGCGACCGGCCCAGCCAAAGTTAGTGGGAGAAGCTATAGTAATAGGAGATACGATAGCAGAAGCAGGCGGCATATTTTGAAAACCATTAGTAGTGCTATTTGCAGTAATGAGCTGTGGCAAGCCCCCAAGGCCCCTCGCAGCACCAGCTACAACAGGACTGGTCAAGGCACGAGCCCTTGTCGCAATGCCAGTGTCATCCCCATCATAATCGTCAGGCATAAACAACCTCTGAGGTTGCTGGGCTTGCTGCTGGCGTGCAGATTGGGGAGGTTGTTGGAAACCTAAGGGATTGAAAAAGCCAGGAGATTCGCGAAGGTTAAAAGGTTTTGGGTCGAAGGATGATTCGCCTGTTTGAATCATCCCGTTGGTCGTACTGATCCCATTCAAGGCGCTGGTTCCGTTGATCCCGTTGACGCCACTGACGCTGTTGATCCCACCAATTCCGTTCACACCATTTGTACTGCCATAAAGCTGCCCATTTGGTGGCGACCCCCGGTTGCGAGTCGCGTTCGTAGTGTACTGCGGAAAGTCGGTGCCGGATATTAACACATCCGAATTGGACGGCGAGTTAGAGGCAGATTGGTTTAATGATTCATGCGAGCTGCCTAATAATTGGACAGACATTTTGCGATCTTCAGGGGAGAAGGGTTTTCCATCCAGTCGCTCCTGGGCCTCTTTTGCAGATTTCTCGGATCCGAATTGGGCGACCGCAGTGGTGTTGTAGTCACCTTCAACACCCCCAGGGGAAGGTGGCTTTATAAGTATGCCGGCGAGGTCACCAGCAAACAAGAGCATGGCATTAAGTTCACGCTCAGAAACGGCACGAGGCAAATTCGTAATCTTGATGTTGTAATATTTGGCGGCTTTGTCCTCAAAGCCTGGGGGAGGCCTCGTCACTCCCACGCTCTCGACGTTTGGAACCTCAGAAGGAGACGAAATGTGCCTGGGAATGCTCAAGGACTCGTGAGAGAAACTCACATGATTTGAGGCGGTAGAGTTGGAAACAGCGGACTGGGAAGGCGGCGCTGCCAAAGGGCGGTGCCAGGGAGAGGCTTCGCTCTCACGAGTTCGGCTGTCGTAAAGGGCGGCCATGGTGGATTGACCACCGAAATTTTCCATAGTCCTATGCAACGGCGAGGGTGTAGGAGACATTTGGAACAATGAAATGTTGAAGGAGCGGTAAGAGAACGGGATATAAAAAGGACGGAAAGTATTTGGGGGTAAACTCTAATAATGGTCGGTCGGGGATGTTTTTTTTGTCTTTTTCTCCCTTTGTACCAGACAAGCGAGCGCGTAGCTCTGAGGGCGGGGAATAGGGATTATTGTTCTGTAGATTGTTAGCAGATGGGCTATCGCGAAGGCCTAGCACCAAAAAGCTAGGAGAAAAGGGAAAGGGGAGAGGACTGACCAAGGAGCCGCGCAGGTCCCTGATGTCGATCGATGCAGAGCGACGCTGAGTGCGATCAGTGAAAGGTGGTTTCTCAACCAAAGCGTTGAAACGAGTCGCGCAGAAAAATAGATGAATAAGGGCAACCGAGCGACGAGTGAGCGGGTCGACAGGCGCGATGGGAGAGTGCAGGAGGCGATAGAAAGTGATGCGGGGAGCAAATGCAGATGGTAACTTAGACAAGCGGGAAGCCGAAAGATCGAGAAAATGTAAATACGGGGGAGGGAGGGAGGGAAGGGAAACAGTGAAGGGAGCGAGTGAGCGAGCGAAACGGTTGAAAGAACGAGTTGAGGAATTCAAGCGAGTCGAGGTGAGGTGAGGACGGGTCTAGTCTACGCGAACCTAAGGTGCCGTAGCTTGAGAACGGGTAATGCAACCAGCAGCAACAAAGTACGACAGGCAGGGCAGAGAAGCAGCAGCAGTGCAAGGCAGAGAGAGAGAGAGAGCAAAACCAAAGCAGGAGGCAGGCAAGCAGGCAGGCAGGCAGGCAAGCGATGGCGGGGCTGACAGCTATCCGACGACAATGATAATGACTGGTGCTGCACGATTAATGCGAGTGTTCCGGCGAAGGGAAGAGGAAGCAGATGAGGGACAGGGACAGTTGAGTTACCTGGGCGACCACCGATCAGGGGGGTGGGGGAGGGATGAATGAGAGAGAGGGGAGGGGGTATTGTAGCGGCTTGTGTGTTTGAGTTAGACTCTCGAATCCTTCTGCCAGTTGCTGCTGCTCTTCGCTCTCAGCAGGTGGAAGGATGCGTGAATGGATGGATGGTAATGCGGGTGTGGGTGTGGGTGGACGGATGAGAAAGGGACGCGGGTGGTGAACTGGATATATATTGAATTGGAAAGACCAGCCAAGGGTGATTGGGGAAGGATGCGGGGACTGCGAAAAAAAGTAGAGCTTTTCGCTCTTGTATCGAAGGATTTTTACCTTTACTCCCTCTCTCCCAAGATCTCTAAACCTACCCCCTGATTATCTCCCCGTCCGTCTCTTTTTCGGTATTGATACTGTGCTGTGTGGTTCAACCGGGGTGCCTGGGTTCCAAAACACCTTGTCTGCTCGTTGTTCAGAAATGACGATAGAACTCCTCTTTTTTCTCTCTTCTAATGTATATATATTTCCCGATGCAGGCTAGGCGAGTCTACAGGACTAGGGAGTCCGCGAGATATGTATATGTATATAAATGAGGAGAGAGAGAAAGGGAAGGAATAAAATGTATGGAGGCGATTATCGAATAACGGTAGCTTTTGTGCACAGCGCAGGGAATTTTGGATGCACGTACTCTACGGTATGTTATGCTGAAAATGTATGTGGGTTATCAAGACCGATGAGCTGCGCAGCTGGTCGGTCGATGAGGCCGCGGGGGGGGAAGAGAAATCGAAGGGAGGGCGCTCGGACGATGACTCTCCCTCCCTCTCTCCCTCTCTCTTGCCCTCGTTTTGTTCACACACTCTCTCTCTCTCCTCCACCCTCTCCACACTCTCACGTTCCCTCTCTTTTTGTCTCTCAAAGTTTCCTGGTGTGAGAGAACAAAGGTGAAAGAACGCACAGTGTGCTAAGGGCGCCTCTGCAACTACCAGGTCTCACACTTACCCTGCGCTTTGTCCTCAACAGCTACCGTTACTGGACAAATGGGCAGATGATTGCGGCGTGCACTGCCAAACTACTAAAACGTGCCCGACGGAGAAAATGAAATAAAAGGGTACTGTACGAGTACAGCTCTAAAGAAACCGGAGGAGAATGAGGAAGGGAAAGGCGAGAAGAGAGGCTACAGTAAATAAAGGAGAAGTGAGAATGGGTCGCTGGGATCTGACCTGATCCTCTCGCGCCTTCGCAATTCATGGAAAGGATGCTCTACTCGTACAGTAATTGAGTGAGTGCAAGCGCTTGCGATCCAATTGCGGATTGGGGGGAGAAAGAAGGGGAAATCTGAAGCCTTGTCCATCGTTCTAAAGGCGACTGAATCATGGGCTACCGGTGCTGCATTCACCAATCGAGGAGAGTTAGCTGTCTCGGTTGAAAACATCCTTGTGATAAGCCGATTTACAGCAGAACGCCGCAATCCTACTCTGCCATGTCCTGGAAGCGCAGGAAAATACGGCACCCTACTCGTACTCTTACTGTACGGCAGGATCTGCTATGTAGTACTCCTGGCGCAGGGGAATGTATCGTTATTGTTATTATCGTCCTCGCATTGAGCTAAAAACTCCGATGTGGACAGGGGACCTCTCAAAAGCGATAAGTCGGACAGCGCGGTGTTCAACCCACTCCGGTACTGCTACGGTACCTCTCACCTATGCACATGACCTTCCGTGCATGCAAATACGGTATTCAATCAAGCACAGGCATTACTCGTCCTCGCGCAATGTCATACATCTCCCCACGGGCCCCACATGTATTTCCTCCGCATCTGGTATCTATTTCTGTTGGCTAAATTTTATGCGCGGTTCCCTTTCTAACCCAGGTGGATCCTAAAACTCACATTATCACTGGCCAGAGCTGCATTCCCCGGCCTATTCTCAAATCCACATAATAATATCGTATCTCAGTATCTGATATATATATATATCGTACCCACTCCTCCTACCTCCTCCTTCTTCCACCAACTCTCCTCGCCTTTTGGTGAGTCCACCACTCTCCCAGCCCCAAGACGCCGATACCACTAGCACCGGTACCTGACCCCACACCCAACAACAGCTGAGGAAGATTATCACATACCGGTACCGTAGTCTTCATGGCAAATGCTCACCTCGTCGCGCAAAGTGCTAGGAAGTCCGGGAATATTTCTCAAAATACCGGTAATGCAATTTTAGGAGAATATCACCCTCTCCTGGCTCTAGCTAGTGAGGGAGGAGGGCCTTCTCAGAAAAACCCGGGCGTTGATGGTGCCCAAGTAACCACGGTCCCAACAATGTTGACTTCGGGGGCCTCCGCCAGTGTGGAGTATGGAGGCACGGGGCTGGTTCAGGTGGTCCTTGTATTTGGCACATCGATGACCACCCCATATCTAAATGTATACTTTTCGTCTGTTCAGAAGAAGCAAAGGGGGTAGTAATCTTCTTCACCTCCCCCCAGAGTTCTCCAGCCCGCAGCGAACGTCCTCCCAAAGGTGGCTCCGGAATTTTGCACCTCCGCGCTCGACGGCCAGGGCTTGCCATTTAGCTTCCTAGGGGGGCAGTTGTCGGTTTGAATGCCGAACATTCTTCCCCCGAGCACAATGTGGCGAAAAAAGGGGACCCGCCCGAGCCGAAAAGCTCTCGGTTCAGCCCCGCTGGCAACGTCTATATCTTCCCCAGTAACAAGTTTGAGAAGTTAAAGTGGGCCGTTTCTCTGGTCACCCCTCCTATGACTCCGACAATCAATGTCTCCTCTGTCTTGATATGCATGAAGTCGAGGAATTCGCAACCAGGGTCGCGGATATGGTCGACTCTCTTGAATCCCTCTCCTAGAAAACGCCGGTATTTGGTGTCGACTAGTCTACTCGGCATTGGGATTGGATGGCCGCCTTCAAGCCGGGAAGGGACGCCAGCCTTTCCCGATAGCAACTGGTGTTGGGTATAGAAGAAAAGGTTACAGCCTTCGTGATGCCAATACCAAAGGCAGTGGATGGCCGACTCATCAGGCGGGTAGGCAGGAGCTAGAGGGAATGATGTTTATCAAATTGCCAAATTATCGGTTTGTTTGGGTAGGGCTTAAATATACAAGTGCTGTACTGCAGCGGTGGGGACAGGGAGAGTCAGCTACTGGAGGATCGTGACAACACCAGAAACCATCGGCTACGATTCACGAGTGAATTATTTAAGGTTGTGCGATACCGGCAGTGCATATCCCTTGCATTCGCAACTATACTATATCGTGCGGTGCAGTAGTCTACTCATGATTTCATGGCAACATTGTAACAAGCCCTACACTTAGAGTTACCGGCGCAGTATTGATTGGAACCAGTACGATAGTCTACGATGCATCAACTATCGGAAGCGGTCAGTCTATCCAACGACAAAGGGAAGCCCTCCAGAAAAACCAGCTGTAAAAGTTGCACCGGAAACCCGTGACCATTGGGTGATTCCATCCTCTTCATTTTGAACCAACGACCGCTCTCTAATACGGTGCGCGTGAGGAATGCCAGAGGGCCGGGTATAGGTGCTGCAAGTCCCGAACATATTCGACCAGTGAGAGGCCATTGAGCTTAAACCAGAGAACGACTCGACTCGCCTGTGAGTCCATCGCTTTCATTCTTTCCGGCGGCCTCTCTCTTTCATTGCTGTTTGGAGGGACAAATCCGCGATGCTATCGCCATTGGGTGGGTCACACATCCTTCTCGTGCAACATGCCGGCATTGTTCAGGAGTGCATCGATCGACGCAACCAGGGGGGCGCTCCCTTGGGAAACCTTTTTTTTTTCTTTTCACCGTATCATAGTTTGCCTCTGTACTTTTGCTTCAGCCGTTTGGACGGGACTCGACTTGTCAATCAAGCACAAATCAACGTTGCCAATAAGGCCACAGGTAAGTTAAGTTGGGTTTCCTGGTCATCGCCCAATCCCCGCAGCCCGTTGGTGTGCCCCAAGGCATGGGTAAGGACGGCAATTGGGCGGAATTTTGAAATTAGGGGTAGAGCCGGCGTTAAACTTTCGCTTGACGCCCCACCCTCGGTTTTTTTCCTTCCTAACAAGAAAAAAGGAAAAAAGCCCAATTGGAGGGTGGCTCCTGGTGATCCTTCGGCACGTGACCCACGGTCCAGTGTGTGCCCTTCGATCTATGATACACTTGGTCATTTATAAAATATTCGGACGCTTGGCGCCCATACAAGTGCTGATAACGCCAAAGTGTCCGAATAATTTATAGATGGCCAAATAGTCTATGCTCAGCTTCTTGGTTCATCATTTCCCATTTTTTTCCTTTCCTGCTAATTCACTTGTGTCGAACAGTGAAAAGGACGAAAAAAAAAAAAAAGAGCCTCACACTGCCCTATGGCCCCCACTGCCCGTGTGGGGAAAGACATGGGAATTCTAGGGATCAACATCCGTTTATCTAAGCTACATATGATACCATGCGCTTCGTTGGTGTTGGGGGCATTTCGAGCTTACCTTTCACGCCTTGCAAAGAGAGGGGCAAACTCTATCAAGTGTCGTACAACCCAAAGCGTACACTAGAAATTCCGGCATTCTCAAATTCTGTGGCTCCAGACCTACTAAACCAATGAGGAGATAATGGAGAATACAAAACAGGCTTTTCCAGCTAGATATTCACAATTATTGTGGTATAGAATTTAAAATATTGTACTTTCCGTGGGAAAGTTGAAGACATGCTGCAGAAGCCACACTGAAAATGCTTTGTCATCCTCTAAATTGTTTTCCGAAATTGGAGTTTCATGAAAATTAAGGTTAAGTCACCCATGGGCTGGTGAGACACGCAGAATCGGGACACTCCTAAAACAGAAGAAATTGTTTCCCTGATGGGTAACTACTGATCTAGTTTGGATTTTCTATGGTCACTCCTGTTTTTTTTTTTAATTCTCAGTTAGGATACACTAATCTTAAAGAGGTCGAGACACCAGGATTCAATTTGTGCTATATTTAGAGTGTCCCGGTTCTGCGTGACTCACCAGCCCATGGGATATCCCCTTTAAACTTAATGATATCATGTTAATCTTATTGTTTTATAAGTTGATGAGTGTGATATAATATATTATTAATTGATACTGTGTAATACGGTATGATATAATGTGTCACAATTAGCCTATCCTCTCTATCAACCCTCAATCTTGATAATTTCTTGGCAAGGATTGGTGGTTTTGGTATCATAGCAAAATTGGCACAGCTATGGAATAATTTTTCCCCCAGCCCGGCGCACACTTTGGATTACTGTACTCGTATGATACACGAACCATACAACTTTGACCACCGCACTTCAAAAAATAATACCCCTGACATGCCTATCCAAGCGCGGCAGGCCCTTTAAGGTTATGCCCTAACTTTTAAGCCCTTTCGGCCAACCATCGATCTCTAGCCAAGCGAGGAATTCTTGTGTCGCCCACGGTCGTGGGGTTGTAAGGAGATGGAGGGAATATGATATGATGAATAGGGTTGGGGGGGGGGGGGGCGAAAGAGGGAGCAAGCCATCACCACCGATAATTTCCCGCCATCTTTTCAAACATGCCTTACTTCTACAGTACCAGTATTTGATTCATCATGTCACTTGAAAGATGAGGCTCTCCCCCGAAACGATTTATTTATTTATTAGGAAGTGGCTGAGGAAACCATCCTCTGGGTGGTCCGAAACAGTCAAATTCGTCTGCCATGCACGCCAACACGATATTAGATTTCATCAACACTTGAATACCCAGGTGAGACAGGGTTTGATTTCCAGTCCCTTCAGTGCTCAGATGACTCAGCAATGTTACCGGGTTGAAACACTCAGCAAATCAAAAAGCCCAGAGCCTTCCGGGACAGGTTTAGTATGCCCGACGACGAATTTGAATGTCTCGGACCGCCCAAGGGATAGGAGCAAAAGCTGCCATGCGGCTGGCCACTAAACCTTGCTTTTTCTTTTTTCTTTTTTCTTTCTTTCTTTCTTTTTTCCTCAGTTGTCAGACATGGAGAATATCAAATCCTCCATGCACAATACTAGACGAGTCAGTCAACTTTACGAGGAGGGGGGGGCAAAAGCCAACGTTCTCTTTCATTTCTCCTTCCTACTACACCGTATTTGCACAAAGGATCAGGAGAAACTGCAGTGGTGCGTGTGTGGTGGGGGGGGGGGTGGGAGATCGATGGACAAGGCTGAGTGGATAGCGGTTGTGTCGTTGGGACAAAAATTGCATCCGTTACAGATCACGGATTTTGGCTGAAATCGGTCATCCAGACGCAACACAGGGATGCCAATGCGGTCCAAAATACTCGTCGACAATGCGTGCTTTTGCCCCATAACCCGAACTGCCCTCCATCAATCTGGCTGGATTTGATCTCATATTTTTTTTTTCTTTTATTAATTTTTTTTTATATTCGGCAGCCATTTTCCCTATTGAAATTCCCTCTCGTAGAATTTCCCCTACATGAAAGTGTATGTATGGCACTGTATTCGTGTGTATGCGGTCCGGTGAATTGGTGAATATGTGGGTGAGTGAGTGGGTGTGAGTGAGTGTGAATGAGCGAGTGAATGAGTGAGTGGGTGCGTCTGCACGAAGATCCACTACCACCTCCACCACGCAGGGAGTTACAGCTTCTTCTTGGGGGAAGTAGGCCCTATTTTTTTTTCTTTTCTATCTTTTCCTTTTATATCGTGCACCAGACGGAAACAACTTCAATTGACCGCCCTGCCTCGACTCAGTGCGTTGGCCGCCCGAGAGATCTTGGAAGATCACCACCCAGCATCTAAGCGAAAGAAAAAATAAAAAAAATAGGAAAAAAGAATAAAAATAAATAAAAAAAATAGCTGGAGAGACTCTTCGGATATGCCCTCTCGTCCTCTATCTTCAGTCATCTCCGAGAGCCAGCAGTAGCTCTGCCCGACCTCGTCCGCTCTTTTTTGTCATTCCTTTTATATCTTGCATTTCCCGTTTTTCAATATATATCAATACTTTCCTTGTGTGAAGTTTACCCAGCCGAAGAAAAGAGGTATCTTATTTCCCCCTTTCCCTTTTCCCCTTACGTGTTTGTGGATTGGGTGTCGGTGTCTACGTCTCCCGGATCTTTCCTATTTACCTCTCTCTACAGCACTCCAAAGCTCCTTTCGCAATATCCGGGGCCGGGTATCATCGAGGGATTAAGAGTGAGTGTGAGTGTGCGGTGTGGAGAGATGCAGAGACTGAAGCAGCGGGTGCTGGACGCTCAGAAGGCATTACGGCGTCGAAGCTCTACCTCCACACCTCAAGCCCTAACATTCGAGGAGCGGACTCCGGCAGCAAGCAGCCAGTCCTCGAATACGGCGGAAAAAAATTCGCAGATGAGCTCCTCAGAGCAAGTTTGTAACAGCTGCAAAGAGGAACCTGCTAGTAGCCCTCTGTCAGAAAATACTGCTGCCACTGCTCTGCGGGGAGAAGCATTGACTAGGGCCGGGAGTACATCGGCTCGGTCCCCCACATCTCCATCATCGCCCTCACAACCGACAACTTCTCTCCCCTTCTCCCGTGAGGAGCCCCTCGCTTCAACAAAATTAGAGGACCATCCTCTGCCCTCGAAAAACGTGGCGGAGATCTCTGATTCTGATCCCCCTATCGGCCCTCTTGCCATTGTTCCTGCACCAGCTTCGGGGGGAACTTCCTCGACCGCCTCCCTACCTCCGGATCCGGCAAAACCTCAATTGCCCCCAAAGGGAAAACTTGCGCCAGCACTTTCCGACCTGCCTCCGCATTCACCTCCTCCCCCCCCGCGGATTCAAACTTCATATCCTCGGAACCGCCCCGTCCAATACCGGAAGCAGTCACTTCTACCGGCCTCTGAGGCTGTCCTGATTCGGACCCTCCTCGGCTCTGATACCAACAATTATACCGCCACATCACCAACACTCAGCGCGAGCTCACCGTTACTGGAGGAGTCACCGGCTACGTTCCGTTCGGTTCCCATTGAGTTTCAGCCGCCCACTCCGGCCACTCTCGGATCAGGTATGCTGAACAGGAGGGTTTGGGTGAAGAGGCCTGGGGGATCACCCACCATTGTCAATGTCCGTGAGGATGATATGGTGGACGATGTCAGGGATGTCGTTCTGAAGAAGTACCAGAATGCATTGGGAAAAAGTTATGATGCTCCGGACGTTTCAATCAGGGTTGTCCCTCGTCACGCAAGGCCACGCTCACTGGATCACACTCCCGGCCGTGGCTATGACCCACAACTTGGCGAACGGACGCTAAATCCGGACGAGACAGTTATTCGGGTGTTGGGTGATTATTTCCCCGGGGGCCAGTCAATTGACGAGGCCTTGGTTATCGAAGTGCCGCCTCTGCCGTCTGTTGGACGGAGGACGCCCCGCCCCTCACCGCATCATGGTTTTGGATCTCATCATGATGGTCACTCTGGCATGGAAGGCAATGACTATTTCCCTCCAATGCCACCCACAAGCTATTCACAGGCACCGCCAACATCGTCATCCCAGATATCTTTGAGGGAACCCTCTATCGCGGTTTTGACGACAGGCCAAGTGCCAAACTTGCCTGGATCACCCGGAGGCACTAATCGAAGGAATGTGCGTCCGGGCCCGAGACGTATGCAAACCTCATCCCCGGTTGTCCGCCCATCGGCCTCCGAGGTGAGCTCAGTAGTGGGACCTGGTGTGGTACTGATGCCCCGCCAAAATCGTTCAAGGGTCAACTCCGATGCATCGAATACTGCTCAACCTGCTCAAGCCCCTCCCATACCCGCACCCGCTGTGGAAGACAATACCCAAAAAGCCTCTACCCCCCCGGCCCGCATGGCATCCCCTCTTGCAAAGAAATTAAAGGAGAAAAAACAACATACTTCGCCGGCGGGTTTATTGCCAGATGGTGCTGTCCCTCCCATCAATGTCCTCATCGTCGAGGACAATGTTATCAATCTTCAGCTGTTGGAAGCGTTCATGAAACGTCTCAAGGTTCGTTGGCAGTCTGCCATGAACGGGAAGGAAGCCGTGGATAAGTGGCGGGTTGGAGGCTTCCATTTGGTCCTCATGGATATTCAGCTTCCGGTGATGAACGGATTAGACGCAACCAAGGAAATCCGGCGACTGGAAAGAGTGAACTCCATCGGAGCCTTTTCACAGTCCCCTTCGTCGCCCTCGCGGGAGGATGCACCAACCATCCCCAATGAGGAGGACAAACTCCCTAATTCAATTCTCTTCAAGTCACCTGTTATCATTGTCGCCCTTACCGCCTCGTCCTTGCAGAGCGATCGCCACGAAGCCTTAGCGGCTGGATGCAATGACTTCTTGACAAAGGTTCGTTTGTTCTCCCCTCAAATTTACACTTCTCTCCACTCACTCGGATTGAATATTTGTGTTCTGACAATTACAATTATAACCATAGCCTGTGAACTTCATCTGGTTAGAACGAAAAGTAACAGAGTGGGGCTGCATGCAAGCGTTGATCGACTTCGACGGCTGGAGGAAATGGAAGGACTTCACAAAGACGGAAAATGGCGGGGGCAATGAGGGAAAGGGTGTGAAAGGGTTCCGCAATCAACGACTCGCAACGGGACAGAAAGGCTCTGGTGGAGAACCTAAGCGGTTAGAAGAGAAGAGCAATCTTATTCCTTCAATAGGTTAAGGGGCTTTCTTAGGCTGGGAGATATTGCTGGTGGTGGGCATGGGATGGGGTTCGATTGCAGCGGATGGATACGAAACGAACTGGGGTAAATGGAAATATTGCTCGGCGCGCTAAGGGAGCATGGTGGTCTGGAAATAGCCTTTGGAGGGGGTTCACGAAGCTTATTGCCGGAGAGGGGATTCTCTAATTCATTGGGGGACGGAATGGGGCCGGTGGTATGATGGGGTTTCTTTTATCCGTCTCTCTGTCTGGAGACTTGCGGCGTTGGGATCACGGATATGGGTGTCTGCTTGTGTGTTTCTTTGTTTGCGCCTTTTTTTCTCTTTCTTTTTTCTTTCCACCTGCGCCCTGATTCTCGGGGAAAATATGGGATTTGAGCACTTTGTTCCTTTTATATCATTGCCGCCGAGTTTTACCTCTATTTATTCTTGCTTCCACCATTCCCTTCTCATATCCCAACCGGGAAACACTTGCGTTTCTCTGATGCTGCTTCTTCCTCGCGCTATTTGGTAATACACGCGTTAGGTGTTGCACTGTTTTGAGAGGGGGGAAGAAGGGAGTATATACGCATGGAAGGAAGCAGACCACTAACAAACCAACAAAAGAAAGGGCCCCCCGTTGTCAAAATTTCCTGACCTATTTACTCCATCATTATCAATATTATTCGTTGTTTTGGTGGTATATACATCATAACCGTCCCGTTATCTACTTGCTGTACATATATAATTATTATATATATATATACCTCATTTCCTATACCTCTCATCTATTTCTTTGTCATCCCTTCATACAACCTTTCCCCCCCCCCCCCCTTCCGTGAAGAGTTGGAGACAAAAACACATTCTCCTTCATTCACCTGTTTATTTTCATTACCTGACTATGCTTCAATCCTGATGGCCTTTTTTCTCCCCACAAACAAAGAATAGTGGAGTTTTGGGCTCTTCCCCCATAGTTTCCTCTTTTTTTTTTCCTCTTTTTCTTTTCGACCTGGTCATGGGGTAGCACTCGATCGGGAACCGGAAAAATCTACAATAATACGATATTATAGCTTTTTAGGAAAGTTTGCCGATAGGTTGAGGGTTCCTCCCGTAAAACCTGGCCCCTGTGAAGAGGGTGTGAGAATAGGAGCGGGAGGGGGGGGTGGTGGGAGTGGCGGTCGAAGAGGCCACGAGTATGGTCTCGAAAGGTCCACTTGCTGCTGCAAAAGTACGAGTGCTCGAGTACAATACTCGTAGCGTCGAAGCGTCTGTCAGAAAGCACTGCTATTGCATACGACCTAGATCCAGGCCAGAAGGGCAAATTTTGGTGGGTATGCATTAACAGTCCTTTTTGAAAAGTCTTCGACACACGAGTAGGGCAACCGGGTATGTATGTGGTGCAGGATAAGCGGCTGTAGTGCCTGCACAGAGCCCGCGGTTCTTTGGATGTTGGCTGAGTGCTTGCTTAATGGATGTTGTATTGGACCATTGATATTTAAGGGATCATCTTGCGCTTGCGATTTACATTCCTATTTTGTGGTAGGTCCCTTAGGTCCCAGCGAATGTAATTGGGACAGTTAGCGTGAGAAGTCAGGAATGAAGGAAGGCATGAACCCTAATAGCCCATCGCGGGATACCGGTGGACTATTCTAAATTGAACTAGATTGACTTTTGCTCGCCGTGGGCTGCAGCATTCGGTACTCGGTGCTGGGTATCTCGTGAACTCCCGCCCTCTCGCCTACTTTCGGGATTGATACCTGAGCACTGAAAGCATTGACTCGCTAGGTAAGCAGGGGGATATACTACCGGTGTGCGGAGTCAAAACAACTGTCTCGAGATATGATACGATGGGGCATTCTCTGTGCTGTTGATTTCTGTGGGTTCGACAGGTACTTCTGTGATTGGTTCGCGGACTTCCCACTGAACTGAGCGACTCGTATACACTCGTCCCTTGCTTTCCCCCCCCCCAACAATTATAGCTCGAAGGGCAGCCGGTATTATAGGTTTGTAAGCCCGAGGGATTGTGTTGTCACTGACGCGCTGATTCATCGCTCCGAGGTAGGATGCATCCGGAGGGATGAGAAATTATTCGTCCCCGCTGGTACAAACGCTGGAGCTGCGAATAAATTTTTCATACCCAAAGATCTAGAGTCTCTATCAGGGGTGGGGTCTTGTTTGAGCTACGTTCGTGTGGTTGTAAGCGGGCATGAATATAACTTAGACCTGAACAGAATTAGATCAGGTTTTCAACAATATTGATATATAATATGTTAGAAAGATAAATTCGTGCAACGAGGGGCATAATTTCTTGTGCGATTGCTCGCTCCAGTGGAGAAGTGGAAGTATCCCCTCACCAATTTCCAAGTACGTAAATTAGAGGTCCCCGATCAGCCAGCATAGCTTCCCCAGCCGGCTAATCGATTGAACCTTTGCCTTAGCCACTGATAGCCGTGCATTTCTGCCAAACATCTCTAGCCCCCCCCTCTACAGCACAAAGTGGGATCCTTTGCGCCCATCATGCCCGCCAGAAGAACTCTTCATGCTGACCTGGTAGCTAGGTGAGGGTATATCGGACTTCTGTTTCCTCACAGTCTCCTAGCCACCCCGGGTCCAAATACCGAATCACAACCCACCGCATGGACTGCATACGGAGTACGGAGCTGCATTGATTATTTTCCATTGACTATCCCTGAGTGCGCCTCTGCTTCTGGCGGCCCTTTTGAGGTAGAACTGGAATTGCCGTTAGAGCACGGAAGCGGCATCCGACTCCCTATGATAAAATCTTGTAGGCAATCACCCACAGGAGCTAAGTATCAGCTCTAACCTAAATCCCCCGTGAGACCAGCAATCTCGCGACATCGCCCGAACGACGCAGATGAATGAATGGCTAAACACGCCTAACTCACAGATAGTCACTCGGAATCCCCGGATTGCAAGCACAGGAGATCGAGTGCGTTTTCGTGAACCGTCCAACAACGGAGATGCCGAGGAATTCGGATCCCATATTCTCTCCGCACCTATAAACCGGTGTTGGCGGGGACAAGGAGTGATCTCCCAGGATAAGGGGAGGGCGAATTTTAGTGGGGAGTTGGAGCCTGGTGCTGTACCGTGCAGTGCAGTACAGTACAGTACAGCATCGGTCTTCAGTTCTAACGCCGTAATCCGTGCCATTTGTCAAGGACAAAGTTAAACAAGACAAGTGTGTAATGCCGTACGATGGACTCAAAATGAGTCCATAGTGTATGGTCAGCAACTGGACAGACAGTGAACACTCAAACGTGGATCCGCATCCACACCGTAAGGGCGGCCATACGATACAGGTATCATACCAAAGAAGACATTTGATCTGAATACCACAGAGTTAGGCCAGGGCCACACCGGATAGAGACGATACGGGCTACCCGTGCTCAGGGAGATATGATATCTGGGTCCCCCTTCTCGTACGTATCCCCGATCCCCAACGCACACAAATAAATAACTACCGGCGGTTATCGCATAATTTATGATATCCCCATGCATTCCCACATGTATGTGTGTGTGTGTGTGTGTGTGTGTGTCCAGCGCTGGTCCCTCTACGAGAACCGTTAACCCCGGCAATCCATACTGTGCTCGAGTACTTGACAGAAGAATACGAGCCTTGTTATCTAAAGCAAACGTTCGCAAACGGCTCAGCTCAGTAAGCTTCCTCACCGTAAACCGGAAAGGAAAAAAAGAGAGAGAGAAATAAAAACCTGTCCTCGCGCCCAATACCGGTACCACAAGTTCGAGTGCGGGCCTCACCTACAAGTACCTAATTTACATGCCTGAAAAAGGAGAAGAAAAAATGAAAAAACACATTCACATCGCCATATCAGTCAGGTGTCTCAAACCGTTGCTCGTGAGCGACGGATATGGCCCCCAAGGCTTCACCATATTTGACTCCTCACCTTGCACAGTCGCCCGGTATCCATCTCCGGGTGAGGTCAGGATTGCGCGACGCATCTCGTGCAAAAACTCCAGGGGACTGAGTGCACCTGGACATGCCTAAACGGTAGCCTTATCGGGGCACAGGGAAATTCTTTTGCCATCGCACGGTATTATAGTATGATACTATTAAGTTGTGTATGATAAGGCTTTGCTCATCTTTCTCACCGGGGCCGGGGTTGATTCCCCAAGGTTTTGCACTTTTGGAGTGTCAGGTGAGGATCTGATTGGTCGGCGCCGATCTGATAATCAACTAATATCCGAATCAGTAAAGGCGAGTGAGTGTTTATGCTTGGATCTACTGTATCGATATGGCGGTGATAGTGATCAATATCCAGTGTTGTAGTTCCCCTATCTATATCCCGAGACCTTATCGGAATAGCGATACCAGTTTACAGCCCAACCTCTAGATCTCCACTGGACAGCACTTCAACCTCCATTTCGTTGGCTCAAATATCCAAATTATATACAGCGAGGTACCATACGCCGTAGACCCAAGTGATACACGTGCTGCTCCTGCGTATTCCTATTATCCTCGCCAGTACCTGCAGAGATATCAAACCTTTCCCCCCCCCTCACCCCGGCTACTCACCCCACCGATTGACTACATGGAAGCCATTGCACAAAGCACCTCGCTATCTGCAACTTTGGAGATCTCGCGGCGAGATCTAAGTTATCGTCGGGGAACCTCCGCGAAGCCTTCCGTATCGACAAACACCAGAGCAATCAATCAATCAGGCGACCAACACTCTCTGCAAAGCCGAGCCATTTTCCTCCAGAAAACGATCCTTGCCGGAAGCTCCCAGAATCTTGCCCGCCCCCATCGATCCTTGAACTAAGCCCGCAATGGTGTATTCCCCCCGGAGTCACCTGCACAACAGGAGAATAATCCGTAGATCCGGATATTTCTCCATCTCCTCAGTAATAATAAAATCGCGGAACTTTCTGCGTTAAAAAGTCTTGACGCCAAGCACGGTATTCGTATCATAAGTATTTGTGCCTGATGCCGAGCCTTCAGTGGTGCCCGTCGAGCGGTAGCCAAGACCCAGGATCGGTGAGAGATACGGCGGCAATCCCGGCCCTTCTGCACGCTCTCTGGCGACGGCAATGGGAAAACGTTTGTCTGCCGGTTTTCGTGGCAGACTTCGAAAAAAAAAAAGGAGAGGAAGAAAGAAAACCCCCTCCTAGTTCCCACCATGTCCGGACCGGGATGTCTTGATTCCGGGCCAGTGAGATATCTTGCTATTCGAGACTCTGGCTCAAACAATAGATTACGGTTGGCCAGTGCTCGCCGGTATAAGTTGTCCGGTGAGAAATGCCAGCTGGGGTTGAATCCTACTCTGGCCAGGTCTTGACATATCCTGGTCCGGACTTAGCGAACTCCCGAAGCTCCTACGGTAGGCAGGCCTAGAAGGCCCAGCAGTGCCATCATCCCCTTGAGGAGATGGACCCCGAAGGGCTGCAAAAGGTTCACGAATTGCTCGTGTTTGTTCCCCACGCCAAGGCCAACGATGCGACACTTCCCGGACAGGAATCTTGGCGAAAAGATCGAGCGTTAATTTCCCTGCTTGCTCGCTTGCTCGTTCACAAGCTACAGTACCGTACTCGAGTACAGGTACCGGTACTGCACTCTGGCAGCACCTGTATCAAAATAATAATAGTGATGATAATAATAAAATGACGAGTTAAAAAAGGAAGGCTAAAAATCCCAGCAACCTTATCCACACCAAATTCAGCAAACACCCCACAAAAAAAAAATAAGGAATCCCGGCTAGGGTGAAATCCCCTGCACGAAAACCGGTACGAGTAGAAAGAA